GCCCGTAAATATAAGGGTGGCCAGAATGATGTATTCTCAATGCCTGTTGAGTGGTGAGTCCGGGTGGGTGTGTGGGGGGGAGAATTCCACTCTCTCCTCCTACCAGCCTCATTCCCAGCCCCTTCTGGACGGAGCCGTCATCTTCAAACCCTCCAAAAAAATCAAATGTCAGCCTCCTGAGCTATCTATTGGAATCCCATCAAAGTTGAACCACCCAGGGAGTATCCCAACTTCTGCTTGGGGGGAGGGGCAGTGGTGACCCCTATTGCCTCTCGAGGAGAAAGACATTCGAAGTTAATGACACTTGTTAGATGCATCTGCCACTTTGCTTAACCCCAGAAATTTGAGCTCCCCAGCCCCACCCCTGCCAGCAGGAAATGCCAGTCGGTGCCACCAGGGGACACTGTTTACTCTATAACCATCTGCAGGCTGGGAGCAGAGCTGACTCTCACATACATCAGTGGAACTGGCATTGCATTGGTCCAGGTGTCAAAACAACACAATTTGGGCAGTTTTTCCATCAGAAGCTCAATCTTTTTTTTTTTTTTAACAGACCATCAGAGAGTTTTAAGGGGAGTCCTGAACAATGTAGAGAGTCTAGCTCCGAATCTCCTTCAGTTACCTGGATTGTCTGAACCTGAGAAATGATGGTTGAAAACAACCAGTTCCATGGAAAAGCTGTGTGTCCATCCTTCCCAGGAACTGGCTTATCCGTAAGGAGTCACAAGCCACGCCATGGCCGTGGCCAGGGATGCTGATCCCGGTCGGCCAGGAGGGGCTTTAAAAGGCAGATTCATATGACAGTGTGAGCGCCGTGTTGCATCTCGCAGCCCCCGATGGGTTTGCATTGAACAATTTTCTATTAAAAATTCAACGTCTAGGTCCTAATGAGTAATGACTATAACACTGAGGAAACAAAAAGCGAAGACAGGGAGATGAGAGACTGGCATCCATAGAATGACCGAGCCCACTGCAGCTCAATGCCAGTCACTGTGGAGTTGTTTTCGTGTTTCTTCTGGCTGGTGCTTGTGGGGACTGACCAGGGAAACAGTTCATGGACTGCCCCCTGCAGATGTCTTGGTTTTTTCTTCCACAAAGATGCTGCCCTCCTGTATTTCTTTCCCATCGTCACTATTAACGTCCTCCCATCTCTGACGCCTGCGATCCAGCATCATTCCTCAAAAGTACATACAGTTAAGGAAATGTCAGTGGGATTACTTCCATTTGTAACCTAATCTGAAGCTTTTATAGCTCAGTTCTTATAGGGGGGTCTCAAAAAATGTACACGCACACTTTGAATAGTTATAAAGGCAGTGTTTACTAAAGCACATTTCATTTTCAAAATTGAGCTATCAGCTATTAAAGGGTGTATACAATTTTTTGGGACACCTTGTATATATGTATACCCACTTTAACAACTGATAGCTGTAGATTCTATTACATTTTTCAAATGAAATATAGTTTAATAAACATTGCCTTTAAATGTGTGTACATTTTTGGAGGACACCCTATATATATATTAAGAAAAATGCTGGCACAGAGTGTTAACATTTCTTCCCTCTTCCCTCCCTCCCTTCCTTTTTCTTATCTCTAATAGCAAGCTTGACGTTAGATCAGCAACATGACCATAGCTGCCTTATGAGGCCAACACATAGCCCTTGTCTCTCACGCCCTTAGTAATATACCCATAGGTCCCCTGTCTAGAGGCAGGCCTCATGAGAAGTTCCTGAGCTAAAATCCACAAACTGCATCCCTCACACCAGGCAATGCTAAGAATTAGGAATTTAAGCATGAGCACAAAGAGATCTGAAATTGCCTCTTTGACTTCGGAGCCCCGGGCACATGTGGAACAGCCGGTTTCCTCTTTCCAATAACCCTTCTCTCCTATAAATCACGCTAATTGTCTCCATGTGCCCGCAGCCCACGGGGAGTTTGGAAAGAGCGTTTGAGGAGATTAGCGGTCTCTGATGTTCGTTATGAAATTCAGAGAAGCATCTGGAAGTAATTTCAGTTAAGGAATTAATGATTTCAGGGTTAAATAATACATGCCTTTAAAAAAATAAATACAGGAAACGGTTAGCCCACGAACCTCCAAGTTCACACCTCTATTTTTGTGGGTTTTCCTCTTTTTTAAAAAAAAAAAAAAGATAAATCGACCACATCATCTGCTTAATTTGTTTGGTTTGGTTTGGTGTGCAAATTGTTTGATTGTTAGAGGGTCACGTGGGAGACGAAACAGGATCCTGGAGCAAGATCTGCAGAAGAGAAGCACCCGTTTCCTGGGCCTCCTTTTGTCTGGCTTGGAAGGAGCAGGAGGGAGGACGTCACAGGCTCAGGAGGTCATCCGAGACTCGGACGCCAAGGGCAGCAGATGCCTTCCGACGCTGAGAAATGCATCCACGTGCATGCGGCCGCGTCTTTTTCTCCGCATGTTCTATTGTTATATATTTCGCCGTGGTTCATTCCGTTTCCCTCGTTTTGATTACTTGAGCCGCGGAGTCCTGGCCCGGGACCTGCCTTTGGCTTTTCAGTAGAGGGGGTGATATTCTGATCCAAAAGGAAATAAATTATTTTATTTTATTTGGGGGAAGGGGGGGCAAATGATGAACCTCCGAAGGAGAGCGGCAGGGGCGGAGAGCATGGTTTGGGTATTTTGGTTTCTGTCAGCGGGCGGGAGGGAGAGAGGATGAGGCCCATCCCACCCTCTGTCAGAAGTAATAGATACATTGTATTTCCCGCTGCAGCTAGAAACATTTAAATGAAAAATATTTACTCTCCAATGACTCTCAGGCTAACAAATAAAAACGAGGAGGGAACGTGCCTTCCATGCGAGGAGCCGGGGTCTGTCTGCTCTGCGGCTGCCTCCCAAGGCCGCGTCTGCCCCCCCTGAATGATCTCAGCAACTGGGCCATCGCCAGCACCTTGCACGCCCCCCCCCCCTCAGGACCACCCTTCTGGGAGCCCGCTCTGGCCTGGCTGGTGGTCTCCACTGCCTTCTCCCCACATCAGGCAATCGGGGTGGACTGAGAAACCCGGGGGAGCCCTGTTCCTCCCAGGGGCCCAGAACCCCAGCCCCACCCAGCTGGGAGAAGGGCTCCCTGGGGGGGGGGTCGTCTTTTTCACCCTCAAGGCTGCCGCCCTCGCTGAGAAATGGACTTGCCAGTTCCTCACATCCTTTCACCGTTGCTTCTTTTCATTCAACCAAGTTTTCTTTCTTTTTTTATTTGAAATTCGTTCTAGAGGCTAGTGCCCAGGAATGATGGTGACTCGACACGGTTGGGCTTCTTTTCTGAGGGTGGGGTGAGCCAGCCCTGGCCAGCGCTGGGCCACTAAACCCTGTCCCCCAGGAGCCCCAGGTGCAGGGGGGACTGCCAGGCTCTGATGGTTTGGGGGGGGACCTGGGGGAGCCCATGGCTGGGAGGGGGGAGGGCTGGGCTTCGAGGGCGAGGCTCTGGTCTTGAAGGGCTGGCCTTAGCCACAGACATAGAAGGAGCCGGGGGTCCCCCCTCCCTTGTCCAGACCACGGTGTGGCCCACGCGGCCCCGGGCATCAGTCACACAGGCAGGTAGCTGGGACCCGCGAGGAGGGCGGGCGCACTGGCAACATCGGGGCGGAAAGGTAAAGGGCACCGAGTGGGGCGGCCAGTGCAGCTCTGTCCCGGCTGAATGTGCAGAGAGGAGGCTACTGCAGAGCAGGTCTGGCTGGGCAGGGGGCGCCCCGCTCCCTCCGTCAGTTAACAAAAGCACATGGGGGGCATTCCAACAACACGGAAAGACAGACAGTGACCAAGGAAGCCGCCTTCCACCCCGGGAGGCGTGTGCCCATCTCCGTGCCTTGGTGCGGGCGGTTCCAGTCCGCGCGCCGCTTTTCCCACCCAGGAGGGTCTGTCCGCGGCAGCCGCGCGGGACTTTTTAAGGCCACCCGTCCCCAGCTCGCAGGGCAAAGACAAAGCAGAACAGGGGACCGGCCCCGAGGTTAAGGCCGCAGCGACCACGGGAGGGCGGCCGCGCGAGGGCCCGGCTCCACCTCGGGTACCTGCGCAGAAGCCTCCCGGGCACGGAGGCGGGAGGCTGCCCACGGGGC